CTGCCCAGGGAGGCCACCATTCAGTCTTTCTTCATTCTGGATGCCCTCAGCCTCTTATGAATGCTCAGACTTGGATTTCTCTTCTCTAGATAATTGGAAGACACTCTGGCTAACTCATTCTTTGGCTGGCTTATAATTAAGCAGTAGCTACATGAGTCAGATGATGTGAAGTTAGACTCCAAGCTCTACTCTTACGAACTATGACTTTGGGTAAGTCCCTTCCCCTCTTTAGCCTCAGTCATATCATCTGCAAAATGGGCTAATAGCACCTATTTCACAGGATGGCTGTGAGGACTACATAGAATGCCCAGCTGCAGACTCCTGGAACAGGACCCTCACACTGCGGGTGTGCAGTCACGGCCTACTGGGCATGAACACCAAGGATGGGGTCTCCTCTTTTGCTCAGACAATCGAATCAATCCAGTCGGGGGTTCCTCTTTGCTCCCATCCCTCTCACCCCACCTCAGAGGGTGAGATCTTCTACTGTTCTCAAGGCCCCCCCTCCACCTGCACCCACGAGCACTTGCCCACCTCCCTGCTGGAGACCATCCTCTCACACAGACGCCTCCTCTTTCCAGCCTCTCTCAACCTTCCGGGCCCTACGTGGCCCACGTCCCCTGCTCAGGGGCAGGCTTCCCAAGGCAGGTGGGGAGGTTCTCAACAAGTAACCAATGCATTCTTTCCTCTGTTCCCTGTCCTCCCACAATGACACAGCCTCTGCACCCGCCTCTGTATGGAGACAGTGCTCTGAGATCCGTGGCAGCCTCTGAAATGCCCTGCCTGATGCCCTGCACGGATCCTCCTCTGCCCAGGTGATGCTGTTGCCCTGCACACCTCTGCACCCTGCCCCATGGAATTGTCATCTTAGTTTCTGGAACATGACACTGCCCAGATGATCATTCCTCCTCCCTGGCCCCCATTCCCCACCCCACCTCCTAGGTGTAAGCACAGGTCTACACTGAGATGGAATCTCTTCTTTTTGGTCTTCTCCTTGGTTGAGCCTTTTTCAACCTTTTCTTGACCCTGGATATATTCATTCCCCTCTGGGGCTTCATCTGTACCATTACGGATGGGACCAGAATAGCAGCCTTGGCATTTGGGGGTCCGTCCATGCACTGCTCCAGTGTCCTCAAGACCATCTCTGCCCCCAGAGCAGCGTCCCTGGGCTCAGCCTCAGTGCAGGCTCCTGTACTGAGATCTGTCACCTTGGTACCTCTCTCCCTTTCCCCAGCCCTTGCGTAGCACTGGACACACGGCAGGTGCGTAGGAAATGTTGATGAGTGAGGGGAGATGACTGAAGAATTCCTCATTTCCCACCTGCCTACTTAGCCCTGCACAGATGGAGCAACCCATTTTCCAGGACGCAGAACAAGAGGGATACCAGTGCTACTTGCACCCTCCTTCAGAACCGTGCCCTGGCTTTCTTTAGCTGATGGCTCAGGCCTAACTTTTATAGTTGATACTGCACACATCTGCACTCAGTGAATTGCAGAATCAAATTCAGGAGCTCAGCTCAGGGCCACCGGGAGGAGAAGCCCTCCTCCAATCAGCCCGAGTGAAGGCACATCTGGCTCCTTGTGGCTCCAGCCAGATGCTAGTGGATGCTGACTCAGGAACTACCAAAGGAGATTCTTGTGAGGAATGGGCAGTGGCCTGGGAGGCCTCGGAAGGCTGCTTCGTTTTCCTGGAGACCAACGTTAGGAATGCGGTTGCTCTCGCCTGCAGCTCTGCAGGACTGGAAAGGGGGACTGGAAGGCTGGCCAGGGAGGCACAGTCTGGGAAGACTTACCCGGTAGTTGGAGTGTGCTCGGTTGTTATGGAATTTTCCCAGTGGAATGTGCTCTGAATAACCTGGGGAGTACATTCCCACTGAGGGGCCTGTTGGTACATGGTGAAAAATGAACCAAAATCCAGTTTCCTGTTGGGGGAGAGCACAAAGGAAAGCCACAGAATTCAGCACCAGCGAGCTCCTGGCCAGAGTGACCAAGTTGCCCACACGGGGGGTGGGTCTAATATCGTCACCCGGACAGGCCCTCGCCGCCCGCCTCATGCACACCTCCAATATGGTCCACTTCTCAAAGGGAAGCAGCAAAAAGCTTGAGGCAAATGTAATCTGTGGGGCCTCCCTGACAGTTAAAACCCTATTATATAGGGTCCTAATCTATTGGTCATGAGCTCTGGACTGCTGGGTTTCACTCACTGCATGGGGCAAACTCCTCCCAGTGCATAATGGGAGGATTTCGAGAATGTTCTTAGCTTTTCCCTTTCATGCTGCAGATACAGAAGCCAGAGCCCAAAGAGAGCACCTAACTGAGTCAGGGTCAGGGTCCCACGGAAGGCCAGCAACATGGAGGGTGGGCAAGAGCAAGGTTGTGTAGACACAATGCAGTGTAGACAGAATGCAGTGTAGACAGAATGCAGTGCTCACGTCCCATCCGCCACCTCCCAGCTGTGTGTGTTGTGGGCACATCGGCCCTCCCTGGCTTAGTTGCCTACCCTGTCAGATGCGGATGATAATTCTACCTACGTCACAGGGCTGATGCAAGAGCCAACTCATGCTAGCTCCCAACACTGATGTGCCAGGCACTGCTCTAAGCCAAAATAATTTCATTCTAATGAGTTGTTATACATAGAGTGCTTCGTACTCACTATGAAGTGACAGAGACGTCACTTAAAACCAAGTCCACAGGACTCCCCTGCCCCATCTGTTTTTCCTCCTCACTCCAGCTGGCCTGCCCTGATGGATAACTGGACTCAGGGCTCAGGACACACATGTTTCAAGGGTGGCCCCAGCTGCCTCCCATGCCCAGCCCCCACGCTTACTTTCTGCCAAAGAAGGGATCTTCCTGCTCACCTCGGATCCTGCAGCGGCGCAGTTGATGAGGTTGTTGTTGGGGTTGGCCATCCAGAAGGTGGACACAGCACTGCAGAGAGGGGACAGATTGAACGGTGTCACATAAGGGCCACCAGTGCTCATTCTGCTGCATGGTGGGCCTGCACCGGGCACTCCAATATTGGTTTGAAGAAGTATCTTAGAGATTTGAGAAATCACTGATTTGTCAATCTGAAACCCAGTTTTCTCGTTAAAGTGTGGTGGGTTTGAGCACTTAAAATGTTTGGAAATTGAAGGGGGCACAGCTCTTTAAAGTTGAAGGAGTTTGTGATTGGCTCTAAAATAAACGTAAGTCAGAAGAACCCAGGAAAGTAGCCATTTCTAAGAGAGAAACCCTGGACCCAGAAGGTTGGCTGCACAGTAAGCTCTGTCTCTGTCTCTCTCTCTCATGTCTAGAAAAGGTGTGGCTTGGGTCTATGTGTACACACTATGGGGACCAAGGTGACAGCCGCTTCCTCCTACCAAAGAGCACTGCGTGGTATGAGGAGAAGCCCCCAGACGAGAACATGCTTCTCTTTGGGCGAGAACGATGTGCACAGGGCAAGCTGAGAAGGGAGAAGACACACTCCTGCCTTCTCTCTGGGAAGCTGTGAGCAGCAGGCAGTTAAAGGCTGTGAAACCCCAGTTGCTCGAAGCCGTGAAGTGCAGAACTCAGGTGCTGAACTGAGCAGCTGAGGCCTCACAGGTGCCACCCCCACCTCCACACGCTCCCAGCACAGTCCTCCCAGAGTGCTGCATGGGCCTGGAGGGGACCAAACTCCTGCTCCCGATGCAGGGGGAGGGGAGACGCCTACTTGCAGTCCTGCCTGGGCTTGGGGATGTAGCCCGGATAGGAGTCCTCTGTGATCATTTTGCACATCTTGCTGTCACGGTCGGAGGGGAGGAGCGTTCCAGACTTGACAAGGAGCCCAAGACAGTGATCAAAAGTGTTGCGTTCCTCCGGCCCATCTTCCGTGAAGAAGCAGTGGCCCAAAGAGTTGTAGCCCACAACGTCCTTGATCTGCAGGGGTCAAGACAGGGATGTTTCACCAACCATCCTATGGTTCATGTGCTCATTCACTCACTTGTTAAGTATGAGATAGTATCAGCCCTACACCAGGACCTGTGAGGAGCACTGGGGGTTTGGAAATGAGCCTGACACAAGTGTTGGGCCTGGGGAGGGAAGAGTAGGGGGATGGAATGGGGACTTTTAAAGTCCCTTCCAGATGAAGGTGTGTGGAGCGGGGTGAGGCTCCCTGGGGTGGGAAAAGGAACAAATGTCCTAAGTGAGAAGTGTGGGTCCATGTGGGCCTACCCTGATGGAGGACACAGCTGAGCACACAGCCTGCAAGGACTGCCTATGGGGGGACTCCACAGAGGAGATGGTTCTGAGTGAGGGTGGTCGGGAGAGCTTCGCCTGGGAGGCAGCATCTGAGCCTGGCCAGGGGAGCTCTCACTAAGACCCATATTGACACTCCTCATGGTGCCCTCCCCATGAACCCAGGCCAGGCTTTTAGCCCATGCTTCACATCAAGCCCCGTTTGCAACCCCTGGGCTGAGAACCAGAAAGGGTTGCAAACTCCAGCTCCTCCACTTCCTTCTTGGAATCACAGAGTCGGTGGCAGAAGCAGAAAGAACATTTGAATAGACACTGAGAGACCAGGGATGCAGTCTCAGCAGCGTGTCCAACCAGCACGGGGATGTTAGGCAAGTCTCCCATCCCCTCTTCAATCACTTTTCCCAACCACAAATGAAGGACTTGAACTTCATGATCTCTGAGATCCCTTCTGGGTCTGAGTCCCTGAACTCATCAGCCTCAGAACTCAAAGGTCCTCAGAGGTCCTCTAGCCTGGGCCCCACCTCCCTGTCCAGTGCAGGGCTCTGTTCACAGCAACCCTGACAAACAGGCATCCTCTGCTGCTCAAACACCCCCTGAGATGAGACACCCACTTCCTCATGAGGTGGCCTGCTCCACGGGGGGGGCAGTGGTGGGAAACACTCATCCTCACTTATCTCGACTGAGATCTTCCATCCTTCATCCCACCCCTGGTGCTGAGTGCTCCACGACGTCATCCAACAAGGGAGGTCCTGCTTCCTTCTGACATCAATTCAACCCACACCTATTAAGTGCCTACCACTGTGCCAGGCGCTGGAAAATCCATATACCATCCCAAAACAACTTGCCCCTCAGCACTGTTAACCTTTCAAGGGGCTGTCCTGTCCTATTTAGGAGCATCCCTAGCCACCCCCCACTAGACACCGTAGAACTCTCTCAGTTGTGACAACCAAAAATGTCTCCAGACATTCGTTGCCAAATGGTCCATTGGGAGGGGTGGGACAAAATTGTCCCCATTGAGAAGCACCAGTTTGGGCCAACACCCCAATTCTCTCCAGAGTCTTTCATGTGACCAGTTGCCTACTCCCCAAGCAGCCATCCTTTGAAAGCATCCTCGTACCAGGCTCCTTCATGACCCAGCACTGGACTGGCCTCCTTCTCCTTTCAATAATACTGAAATCTTACACAATCCTCTAATAGATATTTTTAGAGGTGAGGAAATTGAGACTCTTAGATGTTAAGTGATTAGCCCAGGTCACACAACCCATGTGTGCAAAGTCATGGCTGGAGCCTTGATTTTCTAACTGTGTCCATTCACGCCATAAGGCAGGATCCAGGCATACAAGTCATCCTGTTCCAGGCAAGTTCTCTGTCCTTCTCTTGAACAGCATCCCTCCCTTAATCTTTGTTAAGAGGCAAGGTCATGATTGTGAATCCTATTCACTCCTTCAATAAGTATTTCCATCAATACCAAGGTCATCTAGTGGGACTGCTTCCTTTTCCCCTAGTGAGCCATGAAAGTTTGCTATAAATAGCCTGGAAAGACAAACATGGGAGAAAAGACAAGGAAACACGGGCTGCCTGAGCTGGCAGAGACATCCGAGATCAAGTTCGGTGCCTTCGCTTTACAGAGGAGGACACTGACGTCCAGAGAAGGGACATGGAGTGTCCCAGGGCGCTCAGTGATTTCATGGTGGAGACCTGCTCAGACCCAGGCCTCCTGCCTCCTGCCCACAGCTCTTTTTAAATCCTACACACCCATTTGCCCCACAGTCGGGATCGCACTTCAGGAAGCCCTTCTCTGAATGCAAGTGAATCATGGGGTAGGTACATTCTTATTCTAACAAATGCTTGAGGAATTCCCTCCCAGACCTTTGAGATGTGCCATGGAGATGGAAGAAAAATAACTACTGTTGATCGGGCATCAAATATTTCACACATGTTATTTCT